TTCATACAGTGGACTACCAGTAAAACTGATACAACTTTGGGACCATTCCGGGGCATTGCTGATGACTTAATCTGGACAACTTTAAAGGCAATTTTCTCAATATTTTCATTTTTTTGCACCCTCAGAATCCAGATTTTCAAATAGTTGTGGCTCTGCCAAATATTGTCCTATCCTTACAAACCATACCTCAATGGAAAGCTTATCTATTCAGCTTCCATATGATTTATAAATCTCAATTTAAAAAAATGGACCCTTATGACTGGTTTTGTGGTCCAAAATCCGTGTATCATTCGATCATTCGTTTTTTGATTTAATATTGAAAGTAGAAAAATAAGAAAACTGCTCCTTTTTCGTTTTTTCGTTTTTTTCCAAAAAACAAAAAAAAGAGAATTCAGCTTAAATTTTCGTTTATTGTTCAGGGGTAGAAATATTAATAAACAGCTTGAATATTCTATTTCTACACGTGGGCGGGAATTAAATGCCCCTTTCTGCTGATTGGTCAGCCGAAGATCAAACCATGCCTTCATCAGTTCTTCTGCAGTATCACGCAGCAGAAAAATAGTCCTCTGCTGCTGCAGTTGTATGGATCCTTAACACATTTATTGCAACTACATTTCATCTTTTTTCATCAAACAAACAGGCTAATGAATAGCTCGACACAACACAGGGGCAGAGTCTAGACAGGGCTTTCTTCTGTGTAGATATAAATTCTATTCTTTGCATCAGCTGGGCATGGCAGGGTATGATATGACAGCTGTCATAGCTTACCCTGCTCACCCAGTATGTCTGTGTTTAATTAATTAATTCAAAATAAATATTTTAAACACTAAGACAAAAAGGAAGGAATAATAAATTGGCTTCGGTATATATAGCCCTATAATGTTCACGCAAGAACTGTCATTCTGACTGACAACCGGAGAACAACAGATATTAAATAAGACTACATTATAAAACTCTAACAGTAGGCTGTGTTTTATTAAAATTGATTATAATTTATATGATATCTCAAAAGGATATGCACTTGTGCGCGGCGTGAGCTGCTGCAAGCCTACTGTTAGAGTTTTATAATGTAGTCTTGTGTTTTATTAAAATTGATTATAATTGATATGATATCTCAAAAGGATATGCACTTGTGCGCGGCGTGAGCTGCTGCACACTCGCACTGCAAAGCAAGATTTTCATAAAATATAATAACTTGCCATTTCGGTTTGTTTCTCACCAAACCCTCAGTATACCTTCAGAATGCTTGGAATATACGCCACAAGACATTTTTATACGCCACAAAAAATTTTCTACTCGCACTTGCCAATTTAATGGCAGAGAATGGTGACTTTAGGTTTTGTTTTTTGTTTTTAAGCAGATGCATATCTGTCGTAAAATAATCATATGCATCTCGTGGCGTATATTCCAAGCCTATATTGTCGCGAGTTCCAAGTCCCAGCTCGCAGACCTTTCCCGATCCCCCTTCTCTCTCTCTCTCCCACTTAACTTCCTGTCAACTTTGAACTGTCTTATCAAAATTAAAGGCAAAATTGCCAAAAAGAAATCTTTAAATAAATAAAAGTAGCCAAGTGGTCAAGTGGCCAAGACCGCAAGTGTGGGTATTTGGACAAGGCATCTGCAGGAAAGTGGATCTTGTGGAGCAGATTTGAGGATCTAAACTATACTTTTTAATCATTTTTAGAGACAGGGTAATTAACATCCATTTCTTATGTGATCCCCATTCTCAACTTACCACAATTGTCATGCACAAAATACAGAAAACATTAACCATCCATCTCCTCATTGCACTGTCATTCTCCTTTATAGACTTGCTAGATGTCATCTGTCCCATCAGTGCTGTGAAAGTTTGTCTTCAGCTCTTCAGTCATCAAACTCTCTTAAAGAGTTGGACCTGAGTAACAATGCCCTGCAGGATTCAGGGGTGAATCTGCTTTCTGCTGGACTGAAGAGTTCACACTGTCAACTGAACATCCTAAGGTTTGACTTTCACAATGACATATTTATGTATGTGACTCACCAAGCAAAGCCCATTGCAATCAACACTGATTATATAATGTGAGGAATGTTGTTCCTACAATACGCTACATTCTAAAAAAAATGAATAAATAAATATACAGTGCCTATAGAAAATCATCATACCCTGTGAAAACCTTTTCCTTTTGTCACATTACACCCTGGAAAATAAAATAAATTGAGTCTAACTTTTTTGAGCTGCATGTACACATTATAACCCTCATAATTAAAGTAAAAATATATATTTTTTTAAATTCTGGAGGATTATTAAAAATGTATCAGTGAAATGCCTGGTTTGGTAAAGTCATCAGCCCCTTAGAGTATACCATTATAAACTTGCTCAGGTGAAAGCAATCAACTTCCAGATTAAACACCAGGCTAATTGCCCCACCTGACATCAATATTAGTGGTGTTGATTACTTCAGAATAAAACAAGCTGTTTCTTGAAGATTCCACTGTTAGTAGCACAAGGTATGGCAAAGAATTAACCATGGTTGGGAAAGTGCTTTCAAAAAACCTCTGGGATAAAGTTGTAGAAAGGCACAAGTTAGGAGAAGGCTACAAAAACATTTCAAAGGCTTTAGCTATTCTTCGGAGTACTGTTCAGAGCATCATTAAGAAGTGGAAAGCGTATGTCACCACCAGCACATTGCCTAGATCAGGTCGTCCGTCCAAAGTGGATGACAGAGCCAGAAGGACATTGACAAGAGAAGCTACCAGGAGGCCAAAGGCAATTTTGAAGGACTTACAAGGCTCTATGGCTGTGTCTGGTTAGTCGGTGCATGTGACAACTATCTCCCAAGCTTTACACAAATCTGGCCTGTGAGGCAGGATGGCACGAAAGAAGCCTTTCCTAAAAAAGTGTCACACTCAGACTCGTTTGCGCTATACAAAAACACATTTGGAAGAGTCTGATACCTTCTGGCAAAAGGTGCTATGGTCTGATGAGACCAAAATTGACTTTTTTGGACTGAACTCCAAGCGCTATGTTTGGCGAAAAGCAAACACAGCACACCACTGAAAACACACCATACCTACTATGAAGTATTGTAAGTGTTTCTCTTCAGCTGGGACTGGGCGATTGTTCAGGATTGAAGGGAAAATGGATGCTGCCAAGTACATCCAAATTCTTGAGGAAAACCTGTGTCCCTCTGCTAGACAGCTGAAGACGGGCAGGTCATTCACCTTCCAACACTACAATGACCCTAAACATACTGCCAAAACAACAACGAAATGGCTTAAGGATAAGAAGGTGAATGTCCTTGAGTGGTCAAGTCAGAGCCCTGATTTAAATCAAATCGAAACTCTGTGGATGGATTTAAAGAGAGCAGGCCATTGCCGCTAACCACAGAATTTGACTGAACTTGAGCAATTCTGCAAGGAAGAATGGGCAAATATTCCGCAATCAAGGTGTGCAAAGCTAGTACAGACATATCCAAAAAGACTGATGGCTGTAATTAAAGCAAAAGATGGCTCTTCGAAGTATTAAATAAAGGGAATGATGACTTTTCCAAACCTGTTGTTCTGCAAATTAATATTTTATTAATTTGCAGAACATATTTGGTTACTAACGTAACCTCGGTTCCCTGAGATACGGGAATGAGTACTGCGTCTGCTAAGATGCTATGGGGAAAAACTAATTTTTCTCAGATGACTGAAGCCTTTTCAATAACGCAGTGTAACTGCACAGCCATTTGTTCGTGCAGTGAATTAAAAACGAACCAAAGGCTCGGCAGCAGAGCTGTACAAGCCGATGGCGATGAAGCCCGCCAGAATGGGCCATCTGGTTATATAAGCGGTTATATAAGCGGGCATATCGCCATTCTCAGGTTACTGCGACTGAAGCGACGACCGAGTTGTGCAGCTGCATAGCATGGCTAGTCACACAGTATTCGTTCCCGTATCTCAGGGAACCGAGGTTACATTAGTAACCGAGTACGTTCCCTAGCAATACTTCACTCGTACTGCGTCTGCTAAAACGCTATGGGGAACCAGTACAATCCCGCCGTGCTATGCTAGAGGAACGACTCATGCTTGAACTTGCCTTAAGCACCATAAGGGGCCCAGAGGGACTAAGTAATTAGCAGGGAAGACCCGCAGGCAACAATAGGACACGCAGAGGTTGGTCCGGTCTTAAAAATCTTTCCAAGAAAACTCAGTGAGGGCCAAAAGCATACAAGAAGGAGGGCAAAGCCTAAGCACTGGTTTGGCAAGAATGAGCCCATTATGCAGAAAGGATCCGTGCCTGTAAGGCCGGAACGTCCAGATTATAGAACCTGGCAAATGTGGACGGCGAGGCCTAGCCGGCCGCCGCACAGATCTCTGCAATGGACACACCACTAGACCACGCCCAAGACGAGGCTATGCCTCTAGTCGAGTGGGCTCTTACTCCCATGGGGCAGTGTAGGCCCAAGGAGGAGTATGCTAGCGATATAGCGTCAACTATCCATTTGGAAAATCTCTGCTTTGTGACTGGAAGCCCTTTGGTGTGGCCACTGATGCATGTAAAGAGTTGTTCCAACTGCCTAAATGGGGCAGAACACTAAATATAAATCCTCAATTCCCTGACGGGGCAGAGTAACTTCAACTTCTGGTCATCCTCCAAGGGGAGGAAGCGCCAACAGAGTTATAACCTGTGCCCTGAATGGAGTGGAGAGCACTTTAGGTGCCTTGGCTTCAGGACGACCTTAGAGTCATTGGGCCCGAACTCACCGTTGGTCTGAGCCCATTCCAAGAGGCGCTCTACTAGAATAAAGAGGCGCTTCGAGGAGAGTTCTCCCTGGCGACTTCTGTGGGACACTACCATCATGCTCTCCGATCTGACCAAGACGTGGTGTCTCCTCGAGATCAGCCGAGCAGAGCTTCGCCGTGGAAACGCCTTGCAGTGGATCAAGTCTTGTAGTATCAGCGATGTCTGGCAGGAAGGTGCGAAGACCCAAACATACCGCCAGCATTTCTGGAGTTGACCACTCTAGTCCCAGCTCCTCCACAGCCTTAGACAGGACACGGAATATTTCGGCGTCCATGCCTGGCTTGGGATTGCTGGGCTCCGCAGACGATGGGGGGGGGTGGGGTCGTTGGTCGAGCCCGACAGATCCTCCATGTCTGAAGCCATCAACGACGTGCTGTCGTCCCGCATGTCACACTCACTCCCACCCAACGAGATCAGGTCGCTCGCAGCTGCAGAGGAACACTGGTCTGACTGGGAGAAGAGGACGGGGGAAGCCTCACTATGAGGAGAGAGCGAGGCACGTGGGGTCGGGGCCAGTGTGGGCTCGCTTGTCTCCGGGGACCGAGATCCTCTGCCCCGCTGTTTTTTCCTCGCAGGTTCCTGGGAGGAAAAAAACGGGAGGCCGCGAGGGCCGGGGTCGCTTTCTGAAAAGAAAGCCAACTGCGAGCGCAGAGAGGAGAGACTCATATCCTCTGTCTTTTAGTAATTCGGCGGATGGCGGCAGGGGATCAAGAAGACTGGCGCTGCTGCGGGCGCTGAAGGCGGCTGCGGAAGCGGCGAGATCAACCAAGCAGAGAGAGGTCTTGAAGCTTTGCCGTGGAAACGCCTTGCAGCGGATCAAGTCTCGTAGTATCAGCGAAGATCGCTGTCGTCGCTGAAGGAGAAGAAATCTGAGGATCCTATGGTAATATGCCCACTTATATAGCCAGATGGCCCCGCCCATTCTGGCGGGCTCTGGCGGGCTTCGTCGCCATAGGCTTGGCAGCTCTGCTGCCAAGCAATTGGTTCGTTTTTAATTCACTGCACGAACCAGCGACCATGCAGTTACACTGCGTTATTGAAAAGGCTTCAGTCATCGGAGAAAAGGAGTTTTTCCCCATTGCGTCTTAGCAGACACAGTACGAGTGAAGTATCGATAGGGAACTGTTGTGTTTTTTCTTTCATTGTTTTGATGTTGTAAGACCAAAATTGTAAATAAAGCTGGAAAAGTTATTTCGATTGGGGTTTGATTTCAGGCTGTATGACAAAGTAAATATTTCAAAGGAGAATGATGATTTTCTATAGGCACTGTATAACAGCTGTGGTAACAATCTATTCCTGTTGAGTTTTTTTTCTGTGACCAAACTGACTAATTAAAATGGTCGATTTAGCCTCTTCTTGTCAACTAACAATTAGTCAAATATTATGCCATATTTAGCTTGCATAAATCAATGTTGTTTTTGGTTAACTTTTTATATTGATGGGACTAAATTGCAATGACGTATACAGCATATATATGCATGTATATACAGTATACAGCATGACATTGTGTTTTTGCAGAAATATTACAACTTGTTCATATTAAATATTCTTGAAATTAATGTGGTATAAAGAGAGGGAACATTGAAAATAAAACATTATGAAATATGAGATTAAAATATGTAAAAAAAATATATAAAAAAATTACAAATTAATCTTAAGTTAAACTCTCCAATAATGAGTCCCTTTTGCCCCTGGAGATAATTGAGTTCTAACACAGATCCTAAAGTAATGGATGAGTTTGATGAAAGTTAATCAAGAAATAGTGGTGAAAAGTCATGTGAGAGGAGACACTCTGGGGTGCATTTCCTGAAAGCAACGATGGTCACAAGTTCCGTCATTACCAATAGTGTTCAATGGAACTTACCACGATAGTTAGCTAATGATGCTTTTGGGAAACACACCCGATTGGGTGATCCACAAATGATCTGCAAATCAGCATAAATTATGGAAGGACTATTTACAAATAAACAAATCACCAGTGGTGGACCCAGTACACAAACCAAATACTTGGGTTAAATATAACAATGATTTAAAATGTAGTGACAAAGGTTTCTCAAAATAAAAAATCTGGTAGAGTACAGATACTTGGAAAAATGTACTTAAGTACAGTAACAAAGTTAAAATACTTTATTGCTGTCCACCACTGCAACTCAATTGCTACTTAAACCAATCATGATGTAAGTCATCTGTTTTGATGTTGCTCCATTTTTCTGTTTAGACTGGTCTTCTGTAATCTCACTGGTCAGTGCTGTGAAAGTTTGTCTTCGGCTTTACAATCATCAAACTCCCAGCTTAGAGAGTTGGACCTGAGCAGCAATGACCTACAGGATTCAGGAGTAAAGCTGCTCTCTGTTGGATTTAAGAGTCCAAACTGTCAACTGAACATACTGAGGTATTTGAGAACACAGATAAATAATTACTCTAATCAAACTAAACATGTCACTTCAGTTCTGCTCTTGACTTCCTGGGTGCTTGTAATGCCTCAGCAGAACCGAGTTGCTGTATTTGGTCCGGTGTTTCACTGGATTTTTATTTTTTGGGCTAATACTGATACTTGCCCAATGGTCAATGATGCTAATGCCAGTGTTTCTAGCACTAAGCACTAATGCATGAGTAATCAATATTCACTTTGGACTCTTTGTCAAATTATTTTTATGTTCTGATCTCTGCCTCAATCAGTTAATGTCTCTCGAAGTCTACCAGCAAAGGAAGTGCCTTCGTTTTCTTTTCTGATGTCAGTGGAATATATAAAACTGTAAGAAAATACAAGAATGGCAGTGTATGAAATTATCCCCAGCAACAGCATGACTAATTCACAAACTATAGTAAAAAAATAAAAAATACACAAAACATAGTAAAGATAATCAATAAGTTCAAATAAATGTTAATTATTTAATGTATTAATTTCAAAAACCAGCAATGCCTTCAAACTTCCTGTGACCAAGGAACAACATCAGTTATGGTTCCATGCTTCTTCCCTGAAATATAGTTTAACTAAATATAGTTGAAGGGATAGTTCACCCAAAAATGAAAAATTTAGTAACACTTTATAACAGCGTTCAAATACAAGTAATTTATAAGTGATTAGTTAATGATTAACTAATCTTTTACAAGACATGACTATGTTTTCATAAGTGATATGTTAATATTTTTATCTGTTTTGTAGATTAAGTTATAAACCATTTACAAGTGATTAGATAATGATGAACTAATAATTTACAAAACATGACTATACATTCACAAATGATTAAGTAATATGCTAATGGTTTACAAATTTGTCGTAAATTATCTTAAAAAAAAGCATATCATGAAATTATCAAACAGATCCTTAGTAAATGGTTTATAAGTTACTAGTAAATATATTATTAATAACTTATTATTTATTAAAATATCAACATTGTACTATTGTCTCCAAAAATGCAAATATGCTAAAACTTTTTTTTAAAGAATAATAAATTATTTGCTGTAATATCAATCAAACTGCAGTTGGGTTGTTTTGATTAAGTAATAAGAACTTAAACAAATACAGATAATTTACAAAATTAAAGTTCATTGAAAGTGTTTTTTTAATATATATATATTAAAAGTTTGTTTTATAGCAAAAGCAGATAACTCTAACTCAAAGTCATTTGTTGGCAAAAGCAGATAACTCCACATTTCATGTTTTAAAAACACTCGTTTAATCTTTGTAATCTCCTCAGATGACAATGTAGATGCCTGACAAAGGTTGTTGTTGTGATCATAGACTGTATGGATGTGATTACACGCAATACACGTGTCACGGTCCAGGTGTGTGGAGGCAGGCAGGATGACGAGGATGACAAGGATACAAAATAAGGCTCTTTAATGTAGTGACAACAAGGCTGAGACAGACACACACTCGGGGTAACATTCACAATAACCGACAAACTAGAACACAAGAGACAGGAACAGATATAGGGCAGTTAACGAGGGACCGACAGGTGAGCACAAAGAGGTGATTAACTAATAATTAGACGGGCTAAATCAACACAAGGGGAAGAAACCACAACAAACAGTCCACAGGGGTGTTACATTACTCCCCCCCCTGCCGGAAGGTGCGTCCTTGCACCGTAGAAACAGAGGGAGGGGAGGAGGGGGACAAGGCAGTGGATGTGAGATGGTGACAGGGGAAGGCAAAGGGCTGGCAGGCAGAGCAGACAGGGGGAGGTTTCGGCGGGGGGCGGT